CTTAAGGTAGGTAATCCTCTTTGGTTTTTTCCATAAACAAGAACAAGAGTTTAACTTCGGGGGGACACTTGTTGTTACTGGCATAAATATCTGAGGCTTTAAATATTATCCTAAACTTTTTTTTAAATATCACAAGGGCTTAAGATGCGAAAAGACCTTAACAATAGGACTAGGAACAAAAAGTTTTCTTTGAAAAAAAAACATTAAACAAGAAAATTAAAATGAATTAAATTATAGCAAATTGTAGGAAGGAATCTAAAATCTTACTCTGGAATGCCTGCCATCGTTAACAATTTGTTAATGCAACTGAATAAAGTTAAGGACACTATTCAATTTATTTTATACAAAGTCGTAGCCATCAAAGTGAATCCCCTCATGGCTCCTAGTTTATTTCCAGGAAGTCGAGGTATTTTAAAAAGAAGGACTCCCCTTTGGTTTACCTGCTCCACTATCGCTGCATATCGCATTGCCAGTTAATTTGATTGACATTTATCCGTTTTATTTTGCGAGTGTGTATTTTTTGTCCAACAGCCATGGCCATATCGATGGCGTGTGTCTTTAGCCGGGTTCTTGGCGCTTGGTCTACACTTGACACAGTGTTTGCACTGTGCGCTGATTTAATCTCTCGGTTGCCTTTGGCTGTGGACTTGAGAATGGGTGGGGCTGGGACTGTCTGGGCCCCGATTGTGGGATCTGGATAGGGATAGCTATGGCTGAAGGGCCGCCCCTCCCCCGGCGATAAATTGGGCGCGTGATAAAGAGCAGGAAAAGATGGAGCGAAGTCTGGAAAAAATAAAATGGGAGAAAGAAATCCGGCTGTTTGCCTTTGGTCTCTAGGTGTCTTTATGGCAGATTCCATTTGAGGAGTGCAGGCGGCAAAAAAGCGAGGGGAAAAATTATTGAACATCTGATGCAGTTATGATAATGTCAAAGCATTTCCACTCAAGTGACAGTTTGGCTAGATTTCGATTATGACAGGCAAATGGAAGAGTTATTGCAAATTAATGCAAACCCTTCGAGTGGGCCGACATCGATTTGGGTCAGTAATTGTTGAATGAAAGCACTCAGTTCACTTCTTTAATGGGCTAAGTTTTGGGGATTTATGAAATTTAATAAATGCCTTTTTGGTGGATAAACTTCCTTAGTAAATTATTTTAATTCAATACTTTCTAGTAAATCATACAAATACAATAGAACTGCTTAGGTAATTCCCTTTTATTGTGGCTAGGCAACACGGCCATAATCCGCCGCTTTTATTCGTACTATATTGTGGAAACAATGTACTTTGTATCTGACAAACAAATGTGTATATTTTATTTTCGAGCTGACCAACTTGCGTGGTCCAAACAATATTTATAATAATATACAAAATTTATGTGTAAACTTTTTTATGTGCTTGTGCCACAGTCGCAGTTAATTTGGCAAAGTTTTGCGGCTTGTTCGGCGGTCAATTGTGTAATTTGTGTCCAATTTATATCTACAAACTTCGGGGTGGCTACGGTCTTTAAACAGGGGATGTAATTTGCATTTTCCACCTGAACACTTTATTATAAAGAACTGAAAAGAAGCTTGATTTGAGATGAGTAAAAAAGAAGAAGGCACCAAAGAATATTCTATTTAGTAGAATTATGAATTATACTGAATTATATAATTAAATACATTTTATAAAAACTGATCAGTATTCATATTTAAACTAATCTAGCGATGGCTTATGGAACTCCAATTATAATTATCCAAAATGTTTAGTACATAGTATTTAAAGATAAAATTGGCTTAGAATATAAAGAAATATAAAAGTTTATGTAATAAGGCTTATCAAATTGTATCACTTAGGGCCGGTTTCTCGAGTGCCGGCTAACATTTCTCGAACAGATAAAGTCCCTGCTAAGGCATTCTGGCTTTCTCGAGCATAAATGTGAGAGCTAACTTTGACAGGGACTCGGAGTCCCTGTTAAGCGTTTTCGACTCGATAGAATGACAGCTGATTTCCCAAAGCCAACTAAGAAGTAGAAACGAAATCACAGCTGACTTTTCCCTTGAAATATACCCAAACAGCTGACGAAATAATCGAAGCACGCTTTTCTTTGCACAATTCTGTGCGTTAACAGCACTCTGTAATTGTTTCTCGTTCAGATAAATTAAAGCAGTCGAGAAAGCGGATTTGCTTCTACGAACAGTTTATCTGGTATTTAAGTTTTTCGAACAGATACCTATCAGGGACTTTGACAGGGGCTCGAGAAACCGGCCCTGAAAGCCGTAAGTGGAGTCCTGATAAAGAACAGTGATACCTAGTGTTTATGCAACATTGTACATGTGGTTACTAGATGAGGCAAATATATGCTTATACTAAATATTTTGGGCGAGTGGGTTAGGGCGTGGCTGTGGCTATAAAGGGCCTGGGCTATAATTTAAGCCGGTAACGTGTTATCAGACTTAATATGTAATACATTCTGGTGGTCAGTTGGGATTGGTGTGGGCATTGGGAAGCGTCGAGTGCTCCACAAAGTTGGCCAAAACAATGGGCCCCCTCGCCCTATTGTTTCGGATTTAACCCTACGCTCGAGTGTTTGTGTGCTCGGCCGATTTGGCCCTTTTGTTTTGGTTTATTGTTTTTGAAATGCACATAAAATGCGTTTTGCTTTTGTCCTCTGTACTCCAATGCAAGCGTTTGAGCCTCATATTTTATTGATAGAAGGCGAAAACAGCGGTGTGGGATGAATAGCACCATTGCACTCACATTTTCTGGACCAGCGAAATTGCAAAATGAGCTTAATCCGCGGAACTTAATTTAAGCTTATATTTTATCTGTGAGAAACCTGCAATAGTGCTTACAAATTAAAACCTATTGCTACCTTTCAGTCGTAAATACCTTTTGCTTAAAAAATCGAAAAATGTTTCTCCATCTTAAGGCCTCTTTACACCTCAAGGCCTCTTTACAGTTCAGATGGAATGTCACATGGAATCCAATTTTTCATACAAATTTCAAAATCTGAGATGGAATAGATTCCATTTTCTATTTCATTTTTCATTTCGAGTTTACACTTCAAATGGAATTTGGTCAAGATTCTAAGAAAAGCCTCATATGTTTAACATAGATTAAAACAATTTTGAATAGAAGCCCTTGTAAAATTTAACATTTGCTCGACAGTAACAGAACTTTGATCTGTTAAGGTTATTTTATTTGACTCGATTGGAATATGTGTGTGAGTACATATTCCATGAGAGGTTATATGAAATGAATGGTGTTCATTTCGTTTGTTGTCAAAGTGATTGTGGTTCCAAAAAATATCTGGAGCTCGAAAAAATAAAAACAATGCAACAAAGAGGATTCAATCGTAAACAACATGCGCACTGACTTGTTTATAGGATTCCATGCAGCCCTCCCATTCAAAAAGCGGTCCTTTTAATAGCCCATGGGTGGAAACAAGGCTTATAAGAAGAAGATGAAGAAAACCACAGATCCTGTGGATAATACAAACAGGAGATTTTCTGAAGTCAGCCAATGAACTTATGTCTTATCACTGGTGCAGCAAAATAAATATATTGTAAAATTAGAACTTGTCTTCGATTTTTTCATTGGCAGGATGGTTTTATAGGCAAAGGTTCTGCCATAGCACAGACCATGGGAATATAACTTGTTTCTGATCATCTAACAATAAACCATTCGTAAACCAATATATGGATGCAGCTATGTAATATTATTTGTAAATATTAGGATTTTAAAACCGCTAGTGCGTACGATTAAAAAAAATATAGAATTAGTGAGATCCAATAATTTACTCAGAATAGATTCAAATAAAATCTATCATCCATTGTAAAATCAGACACAATAGTTTTAATTTGCAAATTACGTTTTTTTAAATGTTGTGAGACATTGCAACATTTTTTAGAGATATTTTAACCAAATAATAACAGGAAATGTACATTTGAATACAACAATTTTGTCAGACCAAGCCAGCTTTTTAAAATTGTTTCACCGAAATAACAACAGACTATGTTAACGGGCTTGAAACATATGAAATTCCATTTGAAAAATTCCTACTGAGGTGTAAAGAGGCCTTCAGTAGGAATTTTTGAAATGGAATTTTTCTTATTTCATGTCTGTTTACATTTCCTGTTATCATTCTGAAACGTACTTGCCCTGCCAAATTCGTTCTATCAAATTTAAACGGAAAAAACGATTTGTATTCTTTTAGAATGGATGATGAGTGGTACGTATTTAGATACATTCTGAGCGCAATAATCTCGATGGCAACTTATACACTACTGTCTTCATTTTAGTGTACTATTACTGCAACTTGCAATTAATAATCTGGCTATCGCGGCGTTGTTGAAAAAAAAACGTGAAAAAAACCAAAGAAGCAAACGCAAGTGCTGGGTCAATCCCTATCTTAAGGATCGAAACACAAAAGGCAGATTCGCTAGGACTTTGTCGATATGATCAATAACCCACCAGTGTTCTTGGAAAATTTCCGAATGTCTTATGAAAATTTTATGAATATTTTTTCGAAAATTGAGAAGCATTTGCAGCCACTACGGGAAACTCGAGCTGACGCGATACCACCTCTAACCAAATTCGCAATCGTGATGGAATATTTTGCATCTGGAGATATCCAAAGACATGTAACATCAACATATCGCATTAGCAAGGCCAGTATGAGTGGTATTGTCATTGCTGTTAGTGACGCTATTGCGATAGAGTTGATCGGCGAAATCCCGGCCTGGGAAAAAAATCGTATGCTTAATTACGCTACCAACTTCGAAAGCGAGTGGAATTTTCCAAACTGTATAGGGGCCGTCGATGGCAAACATATTGCTGTCCGGGCCCCTGCAAGCAGTGGTAGTGCCTTTCATAATTATAAAGGATTTCATTCCATAGTTCTCTTATTTGTCAACCAAAGACAGCACAAAAGGTTACTACGGCATGCTGCTTACTTCATAATTTTTTAATAAGAAATGCCACAGTTGATTACATAGGCGGTTTTGAGGAACAATCAATTGAACACAACAATTTAACATCGCTGCAGCCATATATTGGCAGGCCAAATGATTATGGCAAGATGATTAGAAACCAGTTATGTGCTCATATAAATTCAAACGCAGGCGCCGTACCATGGCAGAACAGGGCAGCCTTTGTCCAAGAAACCAATGAATGAGAAACGTTCCACATATAAAATAAAGAAGACACAATTTTAATTTTTATTATTTTTTTTATTTTTGGCAGCACGATCTTTTTTTCCAATTTCAGCTATTGCTGCCGTCACCTTCACCTGCACTTGTTGTAGGGCCTCCTCGGAAAAGTCCTCCATCATCTTGTCCCAAAAAGAAAACATTTCGACATTTTTCAGGGATCCAGTTGTCTTGTTGTCTTGCTTGGTCTGAACCACCGATATGAGGTCCTTCGCTGACTTGAGCAGTTCTCCAATTTCGGTTCCTATTGGGTCACTGTTTTTCTTCTTCTTTGGTCTCTGCGATTTGTCCGATCACAATCAATAAAGAATAAATAGGAATTTTATGAAGCTTACATAATCATACGAAGCCTCCTCAGTGTCCTCTTCCGGGCTATCACAACCACGTTTTTCTGAAGTGGATGGGGCGTGCACAGAAGCAAATGTCCTGAAAAAATAATATTAATAACAATGGTTTCAGTTTGTGTAACTTACTTTCTTTTGTGAGACAGCCCCTGCATAAATGACATATGCTCTGCCATCTCCCAGTCTATCTCGGGGCCCGTCTTTTCGGATTCGACTAGGTTTATATTCTTTGAGCCACCAGCGCTACAACTTTTTAGAATCTGTGTTGCTTTCTTCTTCGTGTGATAGCGAAGGCTATCACGAAGTGAAAGCCAGGTTGACTTGACCTCGTTGACTGCAAAGTAATGTTTAATGATCACATCCAATTTTTATTGATATAAAAATTCCTCACCTTCTTTGTTGGTGGCAGCACTAACGGCTGCCCAAGCACTTCTAACCAGGGCTGTGAACCCATATTATTTTTGCATGGGTTCGGTTCGGGGTTCAAACCTAATCGACAGATAATGTTCCGGTTTGCGAACCGGTTCAATGATGAGCCGGAGCAGGGTTCAGGTTCGAACCAGAGTTCAAAAAAATAATTTTTTTTTAATGAAATAATAAAGTCAACATTTATTTCCATGTATTTTCATTGAAATATGTACCATAACATTAAGACTTATAAGTAAAGTTACTAGATTTATGATTTATAAAGTGTTTACCAGTTAAGGCAAAAGTATACTCTTTGCTTTAATCATGTAATTTTAATGTGGGCATACTGCGAAAAGTTTTGGAAGATGATAGTTATATATTATTAGATTGTTTGAGTTAGATGCAGTCATTGCATAGCCACAAAAATTGGCGCATTTTTATTTCCCTTAGTAAATAAACTCTATGTTAATATGATCAGAAAACCCCCCACACTGTTGAATAAAAAAACACGAACACACAAAATAAATTTTTCGTGAACCGAACCGAATATAAAAAAAAAAGTTCCGGTTCGGTTCCGGTTCAATTATAAAAAAAATCGGCGCTCCGGTTTACGGTTCGGTTCGTTTTCTAAAAAAAGTGAACCACTCCGGTTCGGAGTGGTTCAGCTCCGGAGTGGTTCACAGCCCTGCTTCTAACAGCATTATTATTGCTATGGTTCTTGTTGGTTAAGTCCCATATCTCCGGGCGTGATTTTACTTCTTCTATTAGTTGAATGGTTTCCTCGCGGCTGATGCTTTGATTCCTCTTTTTGTTTTTTCTTGCTCCCGACATTTTTCAAACTCATAAACACTTTGACAGGAAAGGGAATGAACACCATAAATTTCATATGTACTCTCATGGAATATGTACCCACTCACATATTCCAATCGAGTCAAATGTAATGATATTAACAGATCGAATTTCTGTTACTGTCGAACAAATGTTAAATTTTACAAGGGCTTCTATTCAAAATTGTTTTAATCTATGTTAAACATATGAGGCTTTTCTAAGAATTCTGACAAAATTCCATTAGAAGTGTAAACTCGAAATGAAAAATAAAATGGAAAATGGAATCTATTCCATCTCAGATTTTGAAATTTGTATGAAAAATTCGATTCCATGTCACATTCCATCTGAACTGTAAAGAGGCCTTTAAAGTAAAATATATTTTTAATTTTTCTTTTATATTTTTAAAAAATTGTTGAATTTTAACTTCTTATTAATTTGCGTTCCAAAAAATAAATAAAAATGGTCAAGACTAGAACTTTCCTTTCACTTGACTTACATTTGTACCTTCATCACCGCAAGGCTCTTCTAAAAAACTTTGTTAATTGTTCATATATTTTTGAGAATTAGTGTTTGTTGTGTTCGCTAAAAGTGTTAATTTTTAAATAAATATCTGTTTTTTAATCGCAATTTTTTAGTGCAATTCATGTTTAATTGTACATTTTTATACATTTCTTATATAGCTTGACGCGATCTCAAGAGCAAAGCTTTCTGGAAAAACAAAGATAACGCTATTGAAAAAGCTCTCCCATTGCCCAGCCTGGTGTAATTACTTAAAAGCTGTATAAGCAGGTTGTCGTCTTTCGTTGTTTACCTTCAAGAAAGTCATTCATTCTACTGCGAGATCTTGACGATGTTGCGCCTTTCAGTGAAGCATGGATTGAGGGCCAGCTCCCAGCTGGCTGCCACCAGAAATCCGGAGTTATCCTCTTACGTGCAGCAGATCGAGTCTGAATGGGAGTCCGCTAAGCCTTTCACGGAAGTTCCGGGACCGACACGGTGGCAATTATTCCGCGGCTTCCAGAAGGGCGGGCAGTACCATCAACTGGAAATGGATGAAATGATGCGCCTGTTCAAAAAGCAGTTTGGCGACATATGCTTGATTCCCGGATTATTCGGCATGCCCTCCACAGTGTTCACATTCAATCAGGAAACCTTCGAAAGGGTTTATCGCACCGAAGGTCAGTGGCCAGTCAGAGGTGGCTCCGAACCCGTCCTACACTATCGCAAAAATAGAAAGGATGGATTCTTCAAGGACTGCGTGGGATTGTTTAGCAAGTGAGTTAAAATAATATTAGGAAAACTTTGTTACTCTACAATTTTTTAACAGTTTCCATATTTAAAAATTTTTTTTTCTCTATTTTAGTGGCCCCCAGTGGGGAAAAGAGCGAAGTGCAGTGAATCCAGTCCTGATGCAACATCGCAATGTAGCTGTTTACCTGAAACCGATGCAGAGGGTTAATCAGCAGTTCGTCCAACGCATCCGGGAAATTCGCGACCCGGAATCCGAAGAAGTGCCCGGTGATTTCATGGAAACCGTGAGGCAGCTGACCTTCGAATCGGTGGCAACGGTGGCCCTGGACAAGGAATTGGGACTCCTCCGCGAAACCAATCAGCCGCCCGAAGCCAGGAAATTGTTCCGGAATATTGAAATTCTTATGGAATCGTTCTTTGTCCTGGGCGTCAGACCTTCGCTGTACAAGTATATCTCTACACCCACCTATAGGAAGTTTAGTCGGGCCATGGATGAAATCTTCGACACCTGTTCGATGTACGTGAACGAGGCTATAGAAAGGATTAATAGGAATTCGGCAGAAGGCAACTCAAAGGATCATAAGAGTGTCCTGGAACAGTTATTGCAAATTGACAGGAAATTCGCAATTGTTATGGCCATGGATATGCTAATGGGAGGAGTGGATACCACCAGTACGGCCATAGTGGGACTATTACTGAACCTGTCCAAAAATCCGGAGAAGCAGAAAAAGCTCAGGGAGGAAGTGTTAAGCAAATTGCCTTCGACAGATAGAGATTTCACTTTGGAGGACATGAAATCTCTTCCATATTTAAGGGCATTTATCAAGGAATCGCTGCGTGTGTATCCAGTCACCTTTGGAAATACCCGATCCGCCGGAACCGATGTCGTACTTAATGGTTACCGGATCCCCAAGGGCACACATCTAATGATGAGCAACAGTTTTCTACTAAAGGATGAGGGACTATATCCCCGGGCAAAGGAATTCATTCCGGAACGCTGGTTACGACAGAAAGGTGCCGGCGAAAACAGTTCGGAAGTCCTGATGGACAAGAGCATCAGTCCCTTTATATACCTGCCCTTTGGTTTCGGACCTCGCATGTGTGTTGGCAAAAGGATCGTAGATCTGGAACTCGAACTAACGGTGGCCAACTTGGTACGAAATTTCCAGATAGAATTTAACTACCCCGCCGAGAATCCGTTTAAAAGCAGTTTTGTGTATATGCCTAATATTCCTCTGAAATTTAAATTCACTGATGTAAAATATTAAAAAGCTTGTTTATTTTAACAATGGGAACTTTTTTATTCAATTTTCGAAACACTGTTATGGTTTCACTTTTTTTGAACAATATAATATTTTAAAATTGCTCCAGGAAGCCTTATTTTTGAGGCATTTTTAGTTCAACCCATTGAAATTGCGAAGAAAAATAATATTTTTTGGGACTTTTACTTCACCAAGGTATAAAGTTGTAATCTTTAATTTAAATTGTAAGCTTTTGCAAATAAAATTGTAATTATAACCTTGGTTTACGTTAACAGAGGTCTCAAAAAGTAACAGTCACATTTGAATATTTAACAGCACAGAACTTTGCGCCCAACAGCACGAAAATCAGGGAAACAGCTGTTAAGGGGGTATTCCCCACGTCTGGTCACACCATTTCAGTGATTCATACAAAATCTCCACTAAAAACAACGTAAATTGATAAAATCCACCCGTTGAAGTTGCAAACCAACTGCCAGAAACTTTTTCGCTCTTCATTCGCTAGTGCAAATTCATCAAGCTGGGTAACGACATGTCTACGAGTTCCATGGAAAGTAAGTGGAGCGGGGCGATGACGCCAGACAAAGCAAAATTAACAATGACCCACACCTCTTTTCCTTGCCCGCAGAACACCTTTTCAATCTAAAGTTTGCCGTAAAGGAGCTGGAACGGAACTCCAAGAAATGCGAGAAGGAGGAGAAGCTGGAGAAGGCGAAGGCCAAGAAGGCGATCCAGAAGGGCAACATGGACGTGGCCCGCATTCACGCCGAGAACGCGATTCGGCAGAAGAACCAGGCGGTCAACTACCTCCGGATGAGTGCCCGCGTGGATGCGGTGGCCAGCAGAGTGCAGTCCGCCCTCACCACCCGCAAGGTCACCGGCTCCATGGCAGGCGTGGTCAAGGCCATGGATGCGGCGATGAAGGGCATGAACCTGGAGAAGATCTCCTCGCTGATGGAGAAGTTTGAGTCGCAGTTCGAGGACCTGGACGTCCAGAGCTCCGTGATGGAGGGCACCATGTCCGACACGGTAACCACCTCAGTGCCCCAGGGCGATGTCGACAACCTGCTCCAGCAAGTGGCCGACGAGGCTGGCCTCGAGCTCAACATGGAGCTGCCCAGCGGAGTCCAGAGCCAGTCGGTTGGAGCCTCCACGGCCGTGTCCCAGGAGCAGGACGAGCTGACCCAGCGACTGGCACGCCTCCGCCAGGCCGAATAGAACTGCGCAGCCCAGCCCGTTGAATTTCTGTTTTAGCAATTAAGTACATTCAAAATATAAATAAGTATAAATTCAGTGATTAATGCTTCGCTTTTACATGTTTTTAGCGCCATAAGGAGCTGATAAGTTTTCACAAAGTCGCGAAAGGTTTTTTCAAAGAATTTGCTAAGGAAACGGATACCATTGCAATGTAGTTTTACTTTTCAGATCCAGATAAACGATTACGCTATTGCTTATTTGTATAAACTGATGCGTCACGAATCTCCGGAGGTTCTACAATCAGCTGTCTTCTCTAATATGTTCTTTGTACTGGTATTGTTGATTTAAAATGGTTTTAATTCAAATGCCAATGAAACTCTATGAACTTGTAAGAAAGAATTTTAAAATATATCGAGTCTATTACCACAATTTTAAAGTATAAATTAGGTTCAGCTATTTGATTACAGGCGATTTTTGTTTTAATAAAAAAGTCTATTATAGTTTATCTATACGCAAGTTAAATAAACTTTGTGATTTATCAGGGAGCATGTTTAGATCTATTTGGTTTTTATTCATCTTAATAATATAGTAAATATATTAGCCTTGGCTCTTAAAAATAGAATGCAGAGCTATAGTTTAGGTTCCCAGTTGAGGTTGTGGATGTGGAGGCGGGACTATTGGATTGAAAGTGGTCGGTGGCTGTTTGGGTTTTTGCTTTCGGGGCTTCCGAGCTGCTGGAGGATTGGATCCAGGCACAGATCCGAGAGCTCCCGTTCCGTCGGCCGCCTGTTTATTTTTGGGTTTGGGTCCCCGGCGTTTCTGCTCGGTCTTTCCCTTGGGATGAGGTGCCACCATGGGAACGGAGCGCCAATCGTCGCCGTGCTTGTCTAGCCGCCTTTTCAGCAGCTCCACATCGTGATTTCTTCTTTTCACTATCTTCTTGATGCCGTTTACTCTGGAAAATGAGTAATGCACATGTTTGTTTACCTTTCGTATGGCACCGATTAGGATTATGCTGCTCACCTCATCACACAGCGCTCATTCTCAGCCTGTATCCTCTGGCATTTGTCGTACAGCTTTTCTACTAGCTGTTTGTACATCAGGTTCTTCTTATTTAGCAACATTTTATAGAGATATTGGTATAAATAATTTGCTAAAATTTTTGTTTTGCCATGGCTCGGTGTGACCAGATACTCGATTTGAAGAACCCTGGACGTTGCCAGATCGGGATGCTTTAAAAAAGAACTAGTTAATTTATAAAACTCAATTTAACAACGGTTTTTACGAAAACTCATAAAGAAATACATTTAAAAGTATAATCATAACTAGAAATTCCTAACACAATCTGATCAAAGAAATTTAGATAACAACTCTTCTGAACTAGTTCCTCCAGATGTTAATTAGCACCCATCTGGCAACTCTTCGATTTTGCAAACAGCCGAGTAGAACAAACAAATCTAGAATTAACAAATTTTTCCAACAACCGGCATGCCAAACAAATCTTCCCAAGCAGACAGGGAGTAACCAAGAAGCAAATAATACTTTATTTGCAAAAAATATTATGTCAGCAGCCAGCATGCCGACAACCGCAGGAGCTCAGGGATCGGGAAATCAAGTACCCACAACCAGCACTACCATTTTAAGCAACTTCCGGGAGCTGATCAAGGAGCCGAAGAATCTCGACGAGGCGGCCAATTATCTGTACCAGACGCTGCTCGATGACGCCGTGGCCGGGATCTTCATCGAGACACACCACCTGCGAAAGTCGGGGAACCTGGCCGCCTTGGACGGAGTGCCGGAGGACTCGACTTATCGCATCTGCGAGATGCCCAACCTGGACATATTCGGCATCTCGACGGCCAAGAAGCCAATGGACTGCACCTGTCCCAACTGTGATCGCCTGGTGGCCGCCGCCCGCTTCGCCCCGCACCTGGAAAAGTGCATGGGCATGGGCCGGATATCCTCGCGGATCGCCTCCCGTCGCCTGGCCACCAAAGAGGGAGCCACATCCGCCCACCTGCACTCGGCCGGAAATGCCGGGGGCACCGACGACGAGGACGACGTGGACTGGTCGTCCGATAAGCGCCGCAAGAAACCCAACCAGAACTCGCGGAACAACGGTTCCAAAAAGAACAATGGCAAAACCTTTTAGCTCGTAGTAAAGATACTGATCTGAGTGTAACTAGCCATAAAAGAAGACTATCACATCAGTCAATTAGCTTTTTGAATTAAATGTTTAGGCTAAGGTAATGGAAAGTGGTCTCCTCAACACACAAAAAAAAAATTGGTAAAATCAACTGTTATAATTGTCAATTAGTCCCCAACCACAAAAAATAGTCAATTCTACTAAGTAAATAGTTACTTTCACAACAACAAATACACACAATTAGCAAAGACACACACCTATATCCTTGACAAAATTGACAATTTTTTGTGGTTAGGGTATTTTTGACCATTTTTTTATAATTTAATTTAATTTAAAAACAAATTTAGAATAATTCTATAAAATCTAAACAATTTAATTATTTTCCAAATCGCACAGCTATGTATATCATACAGCTGCCCTAGAAACTGCCCTCGATTTTACCGAATTCCTCGCAGAGCTTTATTCGCGATAAGACTCTGCTCGGCACATGCATATAAATACACTAATATGTAATTATATTAACATCGATAGAGCTATGGATTATCAGTTGGCAAAGACACGTATGAAATCGATCTTCAAAGAGGGCTGCTTCCATGTAGGAAGCCACTGATCTTGGGCCTGGTGGAACTGCAGCTTCGCCTGGGGATGGTAATTCGTCCAAGGTTTCTCGTAGCTGGCGGTACGAAGATTGTCCACAAAGTCGCCAAAACCGCCAACAGAGAGGCCCAAAGATATGTAGAACTATTAAGGTAGATGTATTTAAACTGGAGGTAGATTTTTTAGTTTTTATAAGTAAGCTACTCACCATCCTGTCGAATGGAGCCATGGGACCGCCCTGTTTCCACCTCGGATTCTCGTTCAACTCCGTAAAGCCATTTAGCATCTCTCCATAAACTTGCCCATCGACTGAGAACAACAGACGATTGCTACTCCAATCCAAACTGTACGTGTGAAAATCATCGCCGAAGTGCGAGATCTTTCGCTTGCTCAGCCACAAGTCCTCCCTTTGATGGGCATCCGTGGAGAGCACGGGACCACCATATAGCGATCTGCCATCCACGAGCTTTCCTCGCGGCATCCTCAGCACGGAGTTACCTCTGGCCAATGCCACTCGCAGCTGCCCGGACTCATAGCCCGATTGGCCGTACCACTCGGTCAGGGGTTCAAGTAGCAGGAGGGGTACCTAATGAAGGGTTATGAAAATAAAATAATTAAGATAATTAATAACAATACGCACTATCCAATCGCCTTTTGGTAACTTGGCCCGAATCTCAATCCGTCCGTATTGGAAGGCAAAGGTTTCCTTGGTGTTAATACGAGGCGTTACAATGGGTGGCATAATTCCACTGGGTCCACTGCCCATCGAGTGCAGCGTACATTCCTTGAGTCGATTGTGGGTTCCCGTACAACGCTCTGAGAGGTCGAGTCTGGAATTGGCAATGGACAAGTCCGGACGATAGCTGGACCAAAGAAGCGGCTCTATCACCAGGTGCCCATCCTGAGCTCTAGCCTTCCCATCATACAAGACGAATTCCGCATCCTTGGAGTCCAATGGCAGGCGCACATCGTGTATCCACAGGGATTCATTCAGCTGGTCGAATGTCTCCTCAAACAAAAGTTGCCCCTTACAGATGGGAGCACTGATTTGTGGCGAAACCTGAGTTTCAGAGGGTTCACAGACGGAGGGAGCTGAAGAATCCGGAGTACTGCCTTCAGTACTCAATACATTGTCATCCGTGAAATCATCATCATTGGGGGAACAACCTCTGGGTCGATAATTTCCACCTAGATTACAGACCGTCAAGGGTTGCGCCAGATCCTGGTACACAGCCTTCAGATGCTGCACACTCGTCCAAAGATATAGGACATCCTGGGCCCTCAGGGGCACCGAACTGAAATTACTAGTCCATCTGCCGTTCTGGGGCTCTGTTAATCTCACATTGTACTGTCCCTCGTTAATAAAGGAAGTGAAATTTCGATTGCGATTCACATTGAAAGCCACCACTTTGACGCCTTCTTCATCTAGTTATATTCGAAGATAGAAAAGGACCAATAAATGTAGTTAATATACACATTTCTGCTTTGGTTCTATTTTTAGAAATCCCAAGAAAAAATAAAAATCTGAACATTTACCTGGAATAGATACGCTAAAACCATTCTCCAGAAGCTCCACCGTTGGTGAAGGGATCTTGTAGCAATTGGTTAGTCCAAAACCAAGTAGCAGGGCTATTCCCAAGCACAATCCTAGCATTCTGAATCCTCGATTTCCGCACTAATCCAAAGAATCCGAAGCCTCTGACTCAGCCTGTGTCTCTATCTCACTGGCAGACCGGTTTCTGCCGTTGGTGCTGGGCGATTATTATTTGTTTACTTTTAGTTGGTCCGGACAATCGCGATTCGGCACATGCAAATCCACATTCATATCAGCTCCGGCTGCGACCTGGCTTCTCTGGAAATTAAACATTTTATAACAGCCCAGAGACCCCAAAACTTAAGTTCTAACGACACTCCTCTCAGTGATCCACCTTCGACAGAAAACTTAAACAGCTGATGAGATAACAAAAGCTCGTTTTACACGTCTAGAAAAGAACGATCAAAAGAGATTAAAAATAATGTTTTAAGACCAATATTTCAACAAATATTCATCTTTTAAAATTCTAATTTGTAATATTTTTAAAAATAAAGTTTTTAATCTAGTAACTTTTTAGTTTTTTTTTAAATTATACAACATGCTTTTATACAAGTGCAGCTGCGATCAAGAGAAGCTTCAACCGGGGCAAGCTTTCAAGATCAAGATTTCCAATCTGATGCAGTAGTCCCGCCACAGAGCTTCTCAGAATAATACGTTAATCGGATTCTAGTTAGTACATGTATTAAGAGTAATTAAAACTGCGTCATGGGGTGGAAAACTCTTCCATGCGTGTTGCTGCTTATTGCAAGCCATCAAATATTGGGGTTTAAAGTCCCCAGCGTTGATTTTGAAATGCTAGATGAAAAAGGATTTGAGGTGTCCATACCAGGTGAAGTTGAACTTACTGTGGGAATGAAATTGGCATTATTACAACTTAATAAAACAAGTTATTCATATAAAAAAGCTCTAACTTGCCATTAATAGACGAACTATAAAATTGAATTATTTATAAAATATCAATAATTAAAATAAAAATATTTTTCATTTAAAAAGTATGTATTTGAGTTACATTTTTTCTTGAAATTTTTTAGAACAATCCAATTGTCTATCTTAAATACATATGTAAATCGTTATCTATTTACGCATAATTATTTATTCATTTATTTTTCGCTGTAAGCAATACCCTCTCAGGTTTTCCGCGAAATAATTAATGATAATATTTGTCATCATCTTTAGATGAACCTGGCATAGAGCGGGTATTCTACATGCTCCAAATAGACGACACCTGTCCGGCTCTAATGGACTATATTACGGAGGCCGTAAACGGAAGCTGGGTTTCCAAGCAGAAAACAAGTCTCCACAACAACGACAAACTTCAGATATCAATGCTGGTGCAATACAATGAGGAGATTTTTGAAAAGAGTGAAACTATTGTGATTATCAACAAGCGGGTTCTGACCACCAGGGACTCCAGCTCGCGGGGCATAACCTTTCCTTCGGGAGAGGGTGAGTGTCAGGCGTTGCTGCAATCAAAACAGGAAACCAAACGCTGCAAACCCGCCCAAACCATCGTCAGCAATGGTCGCCACACCTGCCAGGGTGAGCTCATCTTCGAGGATAACTTTTCGGAGGCACAGCTGAACAGAACCACCTGGAAGCATGATATCCGGTATAAAAAATTAGCAAAATAAATAAGAACAGTAAGTCTCAGAATTATTTGTACATTTTTAGGCAGCGCATGTACCATGTGGAAGAGGAGCTGGTGGCCTTCGACGATGCCGCCCGAAACTCCTTTGTTAAAGAAGGCGAGCTCCACATCGTTCCCATCGTGGCCAGTGAGGTTACTGATGGCAGTTTCAAGCTGGGAGATCGCTGTACAGCAATCGAGAGTCCGGATCAGGAGTGCAATATTGCCCACGGCAGTTTCTATACCATTAAACCTCCAGTTTTTTCCGCTCAAATTCACACCCGAAATTCGTTTAGTTTTAAATTCGGGAAGATCGTCGTTAGAGCTAAGTTGCCTAAGGGTGATTGGCTGTTTCCCTGTAAGTATACTAACTTGTCTTGATACAAATTTTTTTAATTTTCTACTTTTTTTTAAGACCTGATGCTTCAACCAGTTTCCACTTACGCAGAGACTCACTATGCCAAACAGTTGCGTAAGTCTTGTAAATCCTTTTGCTGCGCTCATCCTTTTTTAATCTTATGGTATTTCGTTTATCCAGGAATCGCATACGCCCGAGGCAACGCTAATTTGCGCACTAAGCAAGGAGATGATATCTCCGGGAATCATCTGTATGGTGGCAGTGTGGCTTGGCATCATGGAAATGCCGTTCAGTTTCTAAAAGATCGGCTGAGCCAGACGCACTACGGCGATGATTTCCACAACTATACCATGATTTGGCAACGGGATAAGATAACGCTGATGGTGGATGAGGAGGTCTACGGAGAACTTTACGATGGACTGCCATTCTTCAACGAGAAGTGCTTTATTATTTTTGGAGTAACAGTAGGAGGCTTTCTCAATTTCGATGACAATTTACTGGCCAAGGATGTCAAACCTTATAAGAACAGGGAACCACGGGCAGCCCTCTCTTTTTGGCAACATCGCGATGCTTGGGCCCCCACTTGGGGACGACAGAGCGCCATGATCATAGATTTTGTAAGGGTTTATGCGGAATAACTTTTACATTTTTACCAAGAAATATTCTCAAATGCTAAGTAATAAAAAAAAAATGCGAGAAGTTAATACAATAAATAAATAGGTAAGACTTATAAAAACAAAAAGAAATTCTTCAGTGCCCTTTAAAATGATGGTGGAATATGTATCTAAATAAACATTATTTTCATCACATCAATCGGGGCCAGTTTAATCTACGAACAAAGATGGGAAATTATAACCTTTTTCCTTTGATATGTTGAATGTTCTTCAAATGGTTTTTTAAGAAGGTTTTTGAAATCCGGCAATCGGATTTTAATAACTGTTTTCAAATTCAAAAAAAACAAAACAAATAGCAGTCTGTCTCAGTGTGACCGACTTATCTTGGAAAATATTAACAAAGTTTAAGCTGGCCGCGAAATTCGGAGTGTGTATTTACTTTGTCAGGGGGTTGTATCCCCTTAATAGCCTAGGAATCAGATCGAATATGACACATTTTAGAATCACCAATACGCATTATTTACTATAAAATCAAATTAGAAAGTTTATTTTTCTTCTTACCTTTTAAATAAATTTAAATAATAACTAAATAAATAATCATGATTATGTTTTCAAATAGTAAGGTTTCCAGATTTGAATACCGATCGATTGGAAATTTAATTCGAGCCCAATAACGGTATAACATTTCATATTTCGACCATTTTATGTATTGCTCTGAACAAATAACTGATTTTTTGTCGGAGGGAAGGTTGGGCAAAACGAGAACTTTATTTGGTTTGGTGCCTCAGTTTATTTTTCACTTTTTCAAATTTGTTCCATACGGATAATTTTTTTTAAATTTGAACACCGAGTTAACAGTGCGCAGAAACTAGAGTAGAACTTTAACATAGATTTTTAAGGATGACCGTTCGTAACATTTTTGGTATATTTGCAAAAAATATGTCGGTATATTTCCACGGCCAGACGGGAAAATTTCTAGATAAGTGCGCGGTCATATTAAGTTTTTTCCCCGAGACGAACTGGAAACAGCAGCAGCAGCGTTCGAATATAATATCATTCCCCATTTCGAGCTAAAACGTCGTTGAGCCAACCAGGAAGAACCAACGGCGCACCATGCCTTCGGCTGCAAATACCGCTACTGCTACCACCGCTACCGCTGCAACTGCCAACAACAACAACGCCAGCAAGGAGAAGCGCTCCTCAATCAGTTCGCTGGGCGGATCGGGAATCGCCGGAGGAGCTGCTGCGACCAATGGCCAAAACAACAACAAAGAGGGCAGCCAAACGGATTTGGCCAGCAGCAGCAGCACCAACAACAATGCGAGCAATGGAAACGCTGCCAAATCGAAGGCGCCCGCTGCTGCCGCCGCCATAGAGCCGTATAATCCGCTGAAGCAGCTGCTGGTGACCATCGAGCACAAGATCCGGAACCTGGAGAAGCGCAAGGTCAGTTTAAAAGGCCGGTAAAAGTGGCAAAAAGGATCTCTTTTTGGCAGCATGGCCCACCATTTTTATTTTCATTCTCTCCGTGTTGCTTTGTTTCGTTTTGTTCGCACCCCGCGGCCCCCTCCCCCCGCTCGCCATAAGTTTTCGGGGCTGGCAGATTTTTCGCGACGCCATGTTTTCTAGAGCACGGCGTTGCCAGACCGCACACAGCGGCCGGCATGTCATTTAGAACCATGGGAATAATATTAATCTGTGGCGGTTTTAAATTCTTCTCTGTTTTTTTCTGTAGGCTGCAAATCGTTTAAAATTTATTTTATTGAACACGATGGTGCTTGAAAGTTCTCGACTCGAATAACAGCTGAGTGGACAGGGCGTCTGGCAACGCCGGGTGCCGGCACGAAATGTTGTTGCTTTTTCAATTTTGTTTGCAGATTTTTTCTTTCAACTTCAATATCTCGACAACTATACAGTCTCATAAACTAATACAAGAAATAATAATAATTGATCATAATATCGAAGTTTGCTATAGGATTTCTAGAGCAATTATTAAAATTTAAAACTAAATAATTACTTTTCTGTGCATGTCCATGGGAATCCTGCGAAAAAAATTTCAAAGACAATAAGACAGCGTTTTTAAGTCAATCCAATTCGTAATCTTATTATTTACTTCATTATTTTTGTAATACTTCTTTCTTAACTCTTTCGTATTAATTAATTAGTTCCCGCTTTAAAAGGTGTTTCACACACTTTTTATTTTCAAAAGGTGCTGCGAATCTTATTAGCTCCAAAAGGTTTTACTATGCTCTTATTGCTCTTCATTATTTATTCATCGATGTTTATGCGATTTGCTGTATTTAAAATGTATATTAAATATGCAGTTTTACTACCAAAGCCACAAATCATATGAGTACAAAAGTATGTGCCTAAAAAACCAATTAAAACTTTTTTTCTTTATTAAAGTACACTTGGTATTGAAGAAAATATTAAATAATACATTTTTAGGTAGACGAAGACATTTAAAACCTCTGATATGACATATTAAATTATATTCTGTTAAGTAATTTGTGTATTTGATAAGTTACAAAGATACAAATATCAATGCGTCAGCATTAAAGACATGACTGAATCTGACTCACCAATTTTCCCTGTTATTTTAACAGACCAAACTGGAGTCCTATCGCGCCATACAGAGCACCGGCAAGGAACTGAGCGGCGACCAGGCTTCGGCAGTGGCCAAATACGATGCGGTCTTGGCCAATCTGGAATTTGCCCGCGAGCTGGCCAAGCATATTCAGCAGCAGTCCAAGGAGGCCGAAAAGGAGCAGAAGAAGCAGGCGCGCAAGGTAAAATTGTTGATTTTGTACCTTTCGCTGATGTGTTAATAATGAGCTAATTTCTATCCAAGGACAACCTGGCGAAGACAATTGCTGAGACGACCAAGATCCGTGAGGTTCTGATCATCCAGAACGTGCTCAGCTGCTTCAACGATGAACAAGTGCGCAGCGACTTCTTAACCGGCGAAAACGGAGCGAAAAAATTGGACAGCAGCGAACTGGATGTGCTGGAGAAATTGTAAGTAATCTACACGTAAATCAATGTTTCGTTTTTGAGTTGTTGTTTGTCAATATATCCTCGGAAAACCGTTTACCAAATTAAATTATAGTCAAGAAATGTAAATATCCGAAAGATTTTCAGATAATTCTGCAAGATCTAAATATTTTAAATATACCCAAACCATAAAAGTAAACGTATAGGTTCGAATTAGAGCCCTGCATGAATGGACTCAATGAATTATTTTGAATTTTTTGTTTTATATGAATGAATTAATTAGAATTTAGAGTTTAATAGAATTGAATAAATGAATGGAATAAATTCCGAAATAATTCAAACGACAATTTCTTTTGAAAATGAAAGGGCTATAATTTTGTGATTAAATCTAAATACATTTTATTTTCTAAGCAGCTAACATTGATTCGTTAAAAATGTTCCACTTTTTGTTCTCAAAAGAAAGCACAAAAAATATCTGACATTCGAAAAATTCATAAAAAATACACAGGAACACAAAATTAAACTTTGTGAAATTTCCACGAATAATTATTCATTCATTCATTCAATTCGAAATGAATTAGAAAAACATTCAATTTATTTCACATAGAATTGAATTAAACAAATCAGAAATTGGCATATTGCATACTATGATAAAACAAAAATGGAATGATTCACTCAGGCCTCTAGTTCGAAATAAATAATTTATTTTCATAGATATAAGTTTTTTGTTTTAAAGCTTTGTCCTTTGTAATTACAAACATATTTTTCTCCCTTCTCCAGCTGCTTGGAGACGCAAACTCGACGCCCGGAGACCGCTGACGATGTTAGCTTTATCACTACTGCCCAGAAATCCGCTGAACTGTTTTCTTCGACCATCAATGCTCGTCCCAAGTCCTTTGGCGATGTGACCTTCGAGAAGTTGCGAACGCTCTTCCAGCAGATCCAGGACTCTGGCTACTTGGACAAGTACTATCTAGTGCCGCTGGCCGATAACGCGGTGGCCAACAGCACGGATAGTGGCACCGGGAGCGGCGACGGCGAGGGCGGTGACTTGTTGATCGATGGCTCTGGCGAACTCGACACGGAACTGCCATCGGAGCCATCGGCTCGCAATTCGTTGGAGGAGGGATTGGATAAGTTGCACCTGGGAGTGCAGGCGGAACTGGAGCAGCATCCACAGCACCACCAGCAACAGCAGGAGCGTCCGGGTCATCTGCTACTGGAGCAGCAGCACCAGCGAGCTCCTTCTCTGGAGCTTCAGCAGCAGCAGAACTTGGTGGTGCAGCAGCAGCAGCCACCTCAAGTCTACCAGGCAGCTCCTCCGGCCGGAGGCACCACCACGCCAGTGCATGTTATGTACGCTCCTGCGCCGCCTCCCCAGCAGCAGCAGCAGCAGGGACAACAGCAGCCGCCACATCCTCACCAGCTGTTGAGCAGCCCTGTGAATCTCCAGGCCTTGCAGACGGGACCCGCAGCTCCGCCGCCACAACAACAGCAGCCGCATCCCACTCACTTTGCCCCCAATGTGCGTGCCGTGGAGCAGAACTACTTCAAGCAGCCACCTCCGCATCCGCAGGCTCCTGGATTGCAGGCGACACCGACGCCACAGCAGCAGCAGTTTATGCAGCAGCTGCGTCCTTTGGCGGAGGTCTTGGGCACAGGAAGCTTCCACTTTCTGCAGGACAGTGAACTGGACAATCCTGAGGCTTTAGCCCCACCACCGCCTACCAATCAGGGATTGGTATTCGAGCAGCAGCCGCAGCAGCAGCCCAACCATGTCGAAGAACCACCGCAGGCCATACAAACGCTGACCTTCACCAACCAGTCGTTCCCATCGCAGCAGCCCAAGCAGCAGGCTCCTCCTCCTCCGCAGCAGCAGCAGCTCTTCTCCCCCGTGCTGATTCACGAACAACGTCAGCAGCAGCAACCACAGCAGCCGCAGCCCATGTTGATTATGCCGCGTCTGCCCACACAGCAGCCTCAGCAGCCGGCTCCTCAGGGAATTGGCATGCAGCCGGGCGATGTGACCTCAGTATTTCCGTACGAAAATGCTGTGGTCTCCTATGAGCAGCAGATCCAGCAGCAGCTGAAACAGCAACAGCAGCAGCAACAACATCAGCAGCAGCAACTGGAAGAGCCTTCGTCTGTAAACACCTCCTCGAGTGTGGGCGCCGGTGGAGATGTGGAGAACAATGAGTGGCATGCTCGTAACAACGACACGAACGCAGCAGCCACAGCTGCACTAACGAATGTGCTCAAAGGCGAGGCCACGCCCCCGGCACCGCCCACCAAGTGGAGCTCGGAGATGAATGCCATGAGCAGCGCCGCCTCGAATGGCAGCAGCAACACCAGCCACAAGCAGGAGTGGGCCACGCCCAGGGACCACAGCGCTGGCGGCGGTGGCAACGGCGGTTATGCGGACAACGAGGGCAACAGCCACTGGAACAGCTCGCAAGGCGAGGGACGTCGCAACTCGGGCAACTACCAGCGACGCGGCGGAGAGCGCGATAACCGGGATAACCGCGATCAGGGAGGACGAGGCGACGAGCGGCGCAACGGCAACTACCGGTCGCGTCAGTACGGCAACTCATCGAACCCCAACGGACGCAACTCTGGCAACAGCGGCGTGTACTTCCGCAACAACGAGTCGGGCAATGGTGGAGGCAACAGCTACTACCAGAATGGAGGAGGCGGCGGCGGCGGTGGCACTTACAACAAGGAGTCGCGCTACGAGTCCTCTGGCGGCGGCGGCGGCGGTGGAAGCTACCGCGGCCAGCGCGGTGGCAACCAGCAGAGGAATGTTAATGGTTCGTACGGAGGCGGCAGGCCCATGGGCGATCGTGGGCGCGGCGGAGCGGGCAACCAGGGAGGCGGTGGCGGCGGCGGCGGCTACATAAACCGCCAGAACCAGTCGCAACGCATGCCTCTTGGACTGGAGAATAAAAACTGAGCAAACAATACGTATTAACCGCAAACAAAACAACATACAATTCATGCAAACCATACACACAAAACCCATACAGAAAACAAGGAAACAAATCATCTAAATGCAAATAATGGCCACGTAGACGTACAATTATCGTTACGTAAAAGAAACTCTCAACCAGAAGAAACGGAAATCTATTTAAAAGAATCCTTTATAAACGCAACTAGGGAAACGAAAATGAAGCAGCAGCAAAACAAAACCAATTCGTGCGCATTTTTGAATACAATTTATAATTATTTTCCTTGATTTTGGTTTATTTGATAATGTATTAATAATAAAACAAAATAGTTGTTAGAAACAAAAAGGAATTACAACTATATACAGGAAAGTAAACGCTCTAAGGGTTTCTAAAACTCCCAGACAGGACAGGATTTCGGAAAAAGAAAAAAAGAAACAGCGAAAGATGGGCAATACATTTAACTCTGATCAGCCTTTTCTCGTCCGACATTACTATATCCCTGTTTGGCTGCGTTGAAGTTGATGCGATAATTAACAAAGGTCGAGAAAAAGAAAAGTATTTATACGTCTTAGCAATTAAATAACGATTCTGAAATATACAAATTAATTACTATTACCTATATATATAAACGAAGGATAAATATATTTATAGTTTGTGCTCTTACTGTCATGCTCTATCCCATTTCAACACCTTTTTTTTTGTTTTGCCAAACTTTTACACACAAACGAAGAAAACAAAAATACAAAAGCCACGTAAGAAAGTAATAGTTGTAATTAATACTGCGTGAATGAAGAAGCGTGCACACTAACAGTGCATTATAAATGAAATGAAACTATGTATTTGCAAAATAGTACATACATTAAACAAAAGTATATAAACCAATCGTTTTCTTCAATATTTGTTTTAAGGGGAATTTAATTTTTATTAAATGGAATGGAATTTAAAAACAGTTTTTTTTCCTCTCAAGATTTTATATCTAAAAAGGTCTTTTATGACCTGAAACTAAGATCTAAACATTAGATATAAAAATGGATATTTTTAACTATTTCTCCTTTTCTATATCCTTTTTCAAGGACTCGACAGCCCCTCCGTCACAAAGGAACCAAAGACCGGCTAGAATTAGTGTTATGCCAATGCCAGATAATGCTGTCAGTGGTTCCCGATAAACCAGTGCTCCTAAAATAAACTTTAAAATAAATGTTACTCATAACTCGGCAAATATTTTAGGAAACCCACCGACAAGACATAATTAGAGGCGGCAGTTAAAACAACGCAGGTGATAGTTTGTTCAGTCATTTGCAGAGCTTTTAAGAAGCAACGTAAGTTGCTAACATTGCAGATTATCATTAGCACCAATGGAAGAACGCGCAGTAAAGCAATTTCTATAAAAAAAATATGGTTACAATTGTGTTGTTTTGCCTTCTAAAATAAAATACTTACCCAAATAAGAAGAATCTGAAGGATCTGAAGTGCCCAGTAATTTCTGTGCGCTGAGGTGGCTGGGAAGTTTACCAAAAAAGCTTCCCCCAGCGGCACAGGACCCAGCTACCAAGCTATATCGATATTTTGCCAGGGCCTCCATTTATTTTAAAGTTTAAAATTTACTCCAATGAAAATGTAAACAAAAGTCAAGTTAATAAAATAAAAAACAGCTGTTTCTTGAGAGATGCCAACTTTGCTTAAGATAAAACAGCTGCCAACTTGACTGAAATGAGTAATAGTGTTCCCAAATAATCCGTTAGATGTCGCTTTTCATTTGGCGCCAAACTCAAATAAATTAAACATTTTGTAAATGATTTTTTCGTATTTCATTTGTTTATTTTACAAAACGTTCAGCTAATGCCTTGACATTTAAATCGAAAAAAGTCTCATTTGCTAATTGCGCGTTGTTTTTTTGCATTTTATCTTCTTAATCATTTGGAATTGTGTATATACAAACATAGATGCTACATAAATAATACAAATTTTCTTGTATCTCTCAACAAAACTCAACTCACATAACGCAGAGCAAGCTGTTCAGCAGTAACATCTTTTCAATTCAAACATTTAGACACTTATATGGGGGAATTGCTTGAGTGCTTTGCATTTCGTTTCATTGCTTTGCGTTACTAATCCGTCACGTTTTAACTACAATTTCGCTATCATATATTTAGTTAAATATTTGCATAATACTTTGCCTGTTTCGGTTTCTAACACTCACACACTGAACCACAGTTATTCTCAATGCACTCCAAGCAAATCTATTAAGTTAGGTTCTTAGCAAGGCTAAATAAATATTTTTTGATGTTTTTCATGGTTTTGATTTTGCTTTCTCATATCAACTAGGGTAAACTGCTCACATTTATTTAATATTACCTTTATATATTCTTTAAAATGTATACATATGGTTGTATATTTGTATAAATTTGTATCGTATAATTGGTTGTGTGTGTGTGTAGTGTAGTGTCTGCTAGGAAAATGCAACGACTTTGAGCCGTTTCTCAAGGGGGGCTCACATAATTGAGCCCCGTTCTTAAACCAACATTTGCATTTGTGTTTTTAACATTCAACAATTCACTCACTGAATTCGGCTAATCTAAGAAAAGACACTTTTTTTCGTGCCATTCAAGCAATGGCCTATCCCTTCGACAAATCTGGTTGGTTTAATACCCTGTGATTCTAGTAGCTAGTTAGTAGGTTAGTTGGTTTAGCTTCTACATCAGGACGCAGCATCTGCGACTGGAACTGGTGCTATCGGTGACCACATCGCCGGTGATGCCGCTGAACTTGTTTAGAGAGCTTCCTGCCGGCGAGGAAACCTCGAAGTCGGACAGCAGGCTTCCGGGACCCATGTGACCACCCATCGTCGTTGGTTGCGTCGAGATCGGGGCTGATCCATTGTTGTTGTTGTTGCTGGTGCTAAGGTTGTTGTTGTTGTTGTTGCTGCTGCTGCCGCCGGCTCCTAAAACAGAACCATTAGTGGATGTTGCAATTGCAGTTGCGGCTGCAATTGGATGGGTATTGCTGGTTGTTTGGGATGACAGTTCGAAATTATTGAGTACATTGGCGGTGCGTGAAAGCGAGCGTTGCTTCTTCAGATTGGCCAATGTGGCACTATAGCCGTCCAAGGTAACATGTTGCTGCTGCTGCTGTTGCTGTTGCTGCTGCTGATGTTGCTGGTGTTGCTGCAACAGCAGCACATGTTGCTGCTGCTGCTGATGTTGCTGATGGTGGTGCGTGCTGTTGGTGTCTGGATGTTGGTGTTTTTTGGCAGGGCGGTGGGTGTGGGTTTTTTTTTGTTTGGGTGGTGCGGTGGCGGTGTAGTTGTTGTTTTTATTGTTGATGATGATGCGGGCAGGCAGACGACACAGAACGGGCGAAACGAGGCACAACAACAACAACAAAAAAAGAATGAAACAGAAACAAGCAAATGTTATTTTACTTTTCTTCTCTTTTTTCCCCGAGAGTTAAGTTTGTAAATACCCCTTGACTAGTTGGGTGTGATGGGTTATGTGGGATGGATGTTACATGCATATAGATATATTTAAAAAAAAAACAATTTTAAGAAAACCTAATAACTGGCCTTTGAGTTACATTTGAGTTACCCCTTGAATTTATATTTATCTTTTGACAATTTGTAATGAAATTAACAATAAATATAAATGTTTAATAGGGATTTGATCGAATTGTGTTAAATTATCATAAATCTAGAGTAGAGCTTGTAAATATATCGACAGTTTGCTATTTTCCCTTCAAAGCATCTACATTGTTCAAATATCGAAAATATCGATAAGTTTCAAACTCTAATTTAGAGTATACTAATAATCAGGGACCGTAACTGTTATGAGTTTTATGTTAAAAATCACATTTTAACAGTTATTTTCGGATTCGTAAAGTAAAACTCAAAGAATAACTGTTATTTTTTGAGTTTTATAATAAAAGTTGACAAATAACCGTTATTTGTCGTAATCAAAAATAAAACTTAAAATTGATTTTTGGCGATTTTGTGGGTTAAAAAAATTAAAAAAAAAATAGTTATACAATATGCACGGTTGGTTTTTTTTTTAAGATTTTTAGTAAGTTATATAAAACACGGTTTGCAGGGTTATTTTAATTATTATTATTAGTCAAGAGAATAACTGTTATACATAATCAACAAATAACAGATATTTTTGACTTTTATTATAAAAATCAAATAAATAAAAATCATTACGGATTTGTAAACTACAAAGGCTAACAAAAATAATGATGTATTTAAAAAATTTTTTGGACTCTTCTAAGTGCATGATTTTTTTGGTAAGAAAAATGTACAATAACAGTTATTTTCGGTCCCTGCTAATAATGCGGTTTTTCAAACTTAAAAATTTCAAATTGCAAATAACCTAATACCCCATTCTGTAAACTTATTCGACCTACAAATATATATTTGTACATTATTATTATTACTCGCACTTTAAGGTACCTAAGCCGCCTTCCTGCAGGGCATGCCCCATTCGATATGCTACTCATGCTGTTAGCTGTGTTTGCTTGTTGGAAGTATTTTCATTTCCATTTTAGTAGAGTCGTTAAATAAACATTAAACATTGACATTGACACGGGGACAGAATGGCGCTTAAGCAGGACTCGTCGTGATACGTTGACGCTCCTTGGGAGCCAAATTGGGTGGGCTGGGAGGTGGGCTTATGGGATGCATGAGTGGAAGCGGAAGCAAGCCTGACACGTGGCCAGTGGTTGAACTGTTGACTCACCCACAAGGACGGTGACCTGGACGTTGATCTTGCCGTTGGCAGCCTCCTTGGACGATTGGATCTGAACGGCCTCGGCACTGGCCGCCGTTCCCTTCTCGGTGAGAATCACGGCCGCCGCCGAGGTGGCCCGCTGCACTTCGCCCGCGGCACCGGCGGCCTTCAGGCGGAGCAGCTCGTCGTTCTCCCGCCCGTCCGGCGGACGACGCGATGGATAGGAATGTGTGGTGGTGGCCGATGCCATCGTGGCATTGTCCAGCGCATCGGCGGACTTGGAGTGCGGCAGCAGTTGGCCATTCGAACTGCCCGTCGAGGGTCGCTTCTCGCCGTTGTTGTTGCCGTAGCCGTAGCCATTGGTCAGGGGATCTGCGCCCGCGGAGGGAGCCTCCGAGTCCGTCGCCTCCTGGGCCTGCAGACGCAGACGCGTCTCCTCGACGGCATCCTTTTTGGTTGTCAGCGTTTTGTCCCGCAAACTAGTACGTCGCACTGATTGGGCTCTGTGGGTTGAGGTTTTTGCATAAAATTTAGTTTCTGTTCTTTCTGTATAGGGTTCTAGAGAAAATATACCTAGTATTGTTGCTTTGTGAGCGTCGAACGCGTCGTCGCTGCGCCTCGGCCAGTCGTTTGCTCTCCTGCTCCGTCTTCAGCTGCTCGATACGCTCCCTGATCTCGGGATCCTCACAGATATCTAAGAAGGTGAAGAATATAATAAAATAAAATAGGTTTTAATATAATAGATTTTAGTGTAATAGATTATAATATTAATAATTAATCGTTTTACTATTTAGTTGTTTTAAGTTTTACAATCTAAAACTTTATCATTATTAAAATTAAGAGCTACTCCTTTAACAAGTTTAAGTATTATTTCTTAATAGTGTATTAAGTCAAATTATTTGGGCTCTTGATACTTTAAATAGCACCTAATTATCAATTTAAAAAGAATAAATTACACATTGTACCTATTATAATAGGTAATTTGATTAAATAATCAAATCAAGAAATTTCAAAAATAGCAATTCCATTTAAACTTAAACGTACTCAATAGTAAACATAGGTCGATCAAAAAATCACTAATTAAACTGAAATATTTTAAAATAATTTTCCTAACAATTACTTTAAACATGTACTTTTTTTTACAACAATATGGAAAACAGCGACATCAATTTGTTTTGCACACCTGAACAAGTTAAACCTACTACAAATAGTCTAGATGCATGTCTGCAATATAAGGATTCAACTAAAAAGATTTACACTTTTTCCATGTTAACATTAACAACAATTTATGGCTCAATTTCATATTCATGGTTATTTTGCTCTACAAGGATAGTCGGTGATTCAGTGCCGCAGCCTTTTTCGCGCATTCCCATTCTCACCTGAGGGCGTCTCATCGTCCTTGTTGCGAACATTTAAATCAGCACCACACTGAGCCAGCATCTCCAGCACCTCAAGCTGAAAAGGAAAAATATTTAAAATTATTATTCCATTGTCCACGGTTTATTTGCTTCCACGGCTTCACTTACATGACCCCAACAGGCGGCGGCGTGAACCGGAGTCCACAGATCCTTGTCCATAGCATCCACGTTGACATGTTGTTCCAACAAAAACTCAACGACACGGACATATCCATTGGCAGCGGCTATGTGAAGCTGACAATTGAGATAAATTAAAAGTTATGCACAGTGAGAAAGTGGAGGAAATATTTTTTAAAATAAAAAAAGTATATTAAATATATCTCATATTAAAAAAACTTATTTTAGATTGTTTGATTTAACTTTTAATAAATATAAATATAGATTAAGGGCTGTTTTCTCGTCCGCCTATAAGATTTCAAGGTAACCCTATACCTTATACGATAAACCTACTTTAATCTTAACAAACGGGCGAGAAAAATGCCCTAAATTTGTTATAGAATATATATCATTAGGACTTAAATCTTCATTAAATAATGGATTCTGAATTCTCATATGTTTTCAAGGTTTTATATACTTTAAATATAACAATAAATAAAAATAATTTATTTTTCCTATATTCCAAGACTTACGGGTGTTGCACACTGGTAGTCCGGCTCCTCCAAATCGCCTCCGGTGCGGACCAGCTCCATCAGGTCCCGCAGCATAATCCGCTCCGTGGAGGAGCGCGTCTCATCGATCAGCTCCTGGGTGACGCCCCGCTGCGCCATCTCGCCCTCGATAAAGTCCAAGGTGTTCTCGTCGTCGCACAGGTCGTAGGGCATGTTGCCGTCGGTGTTGACCGCCAGCAGATTGGCGCCGTTCCGGATGAGGATGCGCACGAGCTCGAGGTGGCCGCAGGTGGCGGCCGCATGGAGGGGCGTCCACTTATCACTGTCCTGCGCATCCACATTCGCACCGTACTCCAGCAGGAGCTGCAGCATCTCGACGTTGTTATCGATGCAGGCCTGGTGCATCGCCGTCAGCCCGTCCTCGTTGGCGGCATCCGGCGTGATTCCGTGCTGCAGGAGGGCCGCCACCTCGGGCATGTCGTTGCGGGACGCGGCCTCCAGGAGCACCACACTGTTCTCGAAGGATATGTGCCGCCTGCCGCTCAAAGTGCCCGACCCATTGGCGTGCCGGAAGTGGTGCGTGGTATCTCCATTGCCGTTCATCAGCGCGTTGCCCACCGATCCGCTTCCGCTTCCGCTGCCTCCGCTCGCCGTGTTGCCCTTCGCCCGCTGCAACTTGGCCCACTCCTTGTCCTTCTGCCGGGACAACTTGAGCTGCTGGGCACGACGTCTAATTAAGGGGAAGAAATCGAGAAGCAGATTGTGGATTAGTTGCGGAAATTCGATAGCTCAGAACAGAAAGGGGCCTTTCACTTGCACACATATTTGCGTTTAGGTTATCCTCAATTTTGCTACACTAACGAACTAAAATATAATGTTCGAATTGAATAACTTTATTTATGGATAATTAACCCGCTTAATTCAGCACAAAAATAATTTAAATTCTTGATAAGTCTGCATTTTAATTTATAACAAAATCCTAATCGCTAACATCCAATAAATTTGGATTTTATTAGGCTGTCATGGAAATAAAACAGATGCTTCAGGTTCCGATAAAAAATAAAATTAAAATATTTTTTCAAAGGCATTATGATGAATCAGTGACAATTTTGATTGCTTTATTTCGGAATTTAGTTTCCGCTTATCAGAATCTTTCGAAGGCCTCTAAAAAATACATATATAATATGTGTTATGCTAAAAATAAATTAATGGGTTATAATTCCTCAATTACGAAGTTTAAAGCAGATATAACTTAATAAGTACAAATCAACCAGGGACCGTAAATAACAGTTATTTGTGATTTTTATTTTAAAAGGCCTACTGAGATTTGTACAAGTTCTAATCAACAATTTAACTGGTTTTTATGCATTTTATAGACATGAACAAATAACAGTTAATTTGCTTTCCAGATTTGTTGAAATGCATAGAGTAAAAAGAACGTTATTTTTGACGTTTAAAACCAAATATCACAGTAGTCTTTTTAAAATAAAAATCACAAATAACTGTTATTTACGGTCCCTGAAATAAACTTATAAAACAAGTGGAAAACTTTTCTGTTTTATATGTGACCCTGACAGCTGAGGAATAGTTAATCTAGTATAATTTTTGTGCTCTTATATCTCGCTACCACCATTATAATTTTAGATGATTAACTTACAGTCTGGCCAGCTGGAGCCTCTCGTGGGTGGGCAGGCTCTCCACCGTCTGCATCTCGGCCACCAGATCGGCGTGCTCCATCTTGAGCTGCTTGGCGTAGCTGGCATCCTCCTGGCTCTTGCGCTGTATCAGAATGCCCTTGATCATGTTGACTTGTGGATTTGATTTGAACCCGACACCCGCTCAATGATATGTTTGCAAGTGTGCTTTAGAATTATTCTGTACAATTTTACAGCATTTGACAACAATTTGCGAGGCTTTTGTTATTTGTGCTGCAGTTTGTGCTGATGTTGGCTGTCTGGTCCGCATGCATTTGTATGCAAATTGTAATTTGCATCTTTGAATTTGATTTGATTGCGGGTGTTGTCTCTGGCGGTTCTTATTGTTGCCCTCGTTGTTGCTCGTTGCTCGTGGATGTTGCAGCTGTTTGGGTTGCTGTTGCAGCTGTTGCAGCTCCTTCTGCTGCTCCTTTGGTCTCTTGGTCCTCTTCCCCCGGATCCTTTCACTCCTGGTCAACACCCGAGGCTGCTCTCATGGCAACTACCACGTTTATCCTTCGTCCTGTGCGGTTTTCCGGTCCTGTCCTTTGTGTTTACTTATGATTTGCTTTCCCCAGCTGTTGATATTTGCCGAAGCTCGCTTCTCAGCAACTTTTCGTTGAGAACTCTGCAAGGGGAAAAATCAGAGAAAAAACCAAATAAAATACATATAATATTCCATAAAATTGTAAAGTTTCATGCTTAGTTTCTCCCTTTTGCTCAAAATTTAAAAATAACTCATGTCCTGAATCTAGCTGCCCGATAAATTTCAGCATGATAAATGAATCCTGGCGGAGTGGGGCCATGGCAATTGTGTTAATGGATCCAAAGTTCAAGAAGCACCAACTATTATTTCTACTTTTTTTTATAAGTCAAGCACGTTTTCCTTACACTACTTGCAAGGGGTTACTTAAAATACTTGAGTTACGTTTTAAAATTTAATTGGTAAAATCAATCACGGTTTAAAATATAAAAAAATACTAGTTTGAATATATATTATTACAAAGTTATAAAGAATGATTTTTTTAAGGAACTTAAAAATTGCATAACAATTGCATCCAAATGCCTTTTAAAACATTTATAGTAATGGAAAATTCTTTAAATATTCTTGTTTAATGATTTACATTTTTAATTCTTTTTATCGTCTTATAATAAAATTTTATTTATAACGATTTTTTAATCATTATATTCGTTACGGTTCATAAATGTTTGAAAAATTTCTAATTTCTAAAATTAAAATCGTTGAATTCATTTAACTGGTTTTATAACTTCTTTTTTGAGCCAGGGAATCTGAAATGCCCTGAGGAAATATCAAGTTAATATAGCACTGACTATTTCATTGGTAATTTAAAATAAAGGGATTTTGATGAAAACTTTGTTGTTTCCCTAGAGTATTTGAACTTTGATGTGCCCGAGACAACTTTCCCTCGTAATGGTTTCTTTTTGGGTGCGCTGAAGCGTACGGATAATGCTGATGACGCATGTGTCCTTGGATCCCTTGCCTTAACCCTCTGATGGCCCACCCACCGCTCTCTCCACTCTCCGCTCTTCAATCGACCTGTCATCGATAGCCTGGCCAATGCCTTGAATAAGTATTAGCCACTGCTGGTTGGAAATTGCATGCCAAGGAGCCATCATCGAGTTAAGTTTACTTTACTCGCTTCAAGCCACAAGCCCAATCTTATGTGCAGCCGGCTTGATCCTGCGAATGTGTCTTATCCCAGGACGGTCAACAAAGGGAATTACGAAGTGGGCTTGCAACAAAAATTCAGGGGAAAAAAAACACCAAGCTTTTTAAAGACCTTGCTGAGTTGGCTGTGTAAAAAGCACGAAGACATTAAGTCGCTAATTTACTATGCTCTCTGAGCAAAAACATTTAAAAGAAGGTTGGGATAACAGCTAAAGGATTACGTTGAATGATATGTATAGAATATAGTTAAGCTAGTGGAACAGTTAAGTCTTTTGTCCTGTATAAAATGAAACCTAGTTTTTGCGGGTGAAGTTTTGGTAATTAAATTTTAAAATAAAATAAACCTTGCCCAGCGTAAACCACAAATTGAGTCCAATTATTGAAACCGCAGTTGGTTTACTCAAGAAAACAAACATCCGAATTCATTATAAATCAAGGCCATTAATTAATACCATTCATCAATAATTCACCTGCTTTCTTGCGCAGCATTAAGCCATTAAACAAGCCCAATAAAATTAATTTGGTGTCCTTCCGTATGAACATTCCCAAGCTCAATTTCACAGCAGAATAAACTGAAGCATTTGTTAAGCCAACAATCAATCATCCTCGTTTATCGTGTAACAGTTTCCCTCGCAAAACTGGAAAACACTTAATCTGACTCCTTTATTTGAGTATCTCAGCAATCTGTATCAATTCCTATTTGATGCGAAAATAAAGTTCATTATCATAAATTGAAAATTGTAATTATTGTTTGCCTTGAAATACTGCATGCGCGATTGGGAAGTGTGTGTGTGCACTTTCCTGTGCCATATTGCAGCAGTAATAGTCATTAAATGAACAATTTAAATCGAATATCGATTATGGCTGGTAACACACTTTTCGGCATCCTGTTACGGCACATGAATATCCTTGAAGTGGATAGATGGGAAATTGCAGCCATTAAGGAAATGTTCATTTATGAGTTTTGTCAGATGCAATACAAAAGGAATTTCCAACCGACGTGACTATGTAAATGTGTGAGTGTGTCCCAAAAATTTGTCGATAACAGGAGCTGCAAAAACAACAACTGCACGCACTACTGGAATAACAATGGGGATTCCCCCCTCTTTGCCGCACACCATGGCGTATGCGTGTTATCTCTGCGGTCAGTCAAGCCCAAACGCTCCCTGTCTCTCTCTCTATCTCACTGGCCCTCTCTTTCGCACTTTATTTGTGCGTGCTCGAAACTTCGTGTTATTAATTTCGCACGCCTCGTTTTAAGCTCAATATTTATGCAACTACATAATGGCAAAAGCGCAAATAATTTATGACTTAAAGGCAAACGTTAAAAGATAAAGATAAGGAAAGCTCAGCACAACTACACAGGGGAAATCTTCAGTTCATAGAAATTGCGGCTGCTGCGAAGATTTAAGTCCACAAATCTATTAGAAACTGAATTAAATACATCTTTCATTAATTAGGTTTTTGAAATTGGTCAAAGCTTCCATTTCAAAAATAAAAAAAACAATTGATTTATATTTTTTAGAATTGCATATTACCATATTTTTTTCAAGTACGAGTGCAAATAATTTACGACTTTAGGGCACACATTACCAGATAAGATAAAGAAAGCTCGGCACAAAATCCCAGTCACCAAACGAAACTCAAATACACTTAAAGCTATTTAATTTGTCTTTTTTTCGTAGCCAAGTGCCACCAAACATCAAGGCAAGTGACGAAAGCCACGATGACCTCAAGGGGCGGATGAAAGGGCGGTAAGTGGGGGGAAAGGGGTGGCAAAATGAATGGCACTCGACAGGCGCAATGTGCAACATGAGACAACAACAACAAAAGGCAGGGTAAAAATACCTTTCAGCCATTATCCTTCGGATAGGTCAGGGGATCTAGCTGGCGACGAAATCTGCCGACGGCCAGCGGCCAAGGAATCCCTTCTTCCTTTCTAATGAGTGCCACCAACACCAGCAGCATCAGCGTCGGCAGCACATGCCGTTGCTAGATTGCTACAGTAGTAACTGGCTAACTGAAATAGCACCTTTTTTTATGATATTATGTTTCTAAACCAAGTACCAGCTCCAATAAAATATTTTAAATTATTTATAACTCATTACAAAAAATGATATCCTTCAGTACCAGCGTCAGGATTTATTTTATTTTTATAATGTTAAAATAAAATATTCTAAATTATTTAAACTCATTACAAAATCAAAATAAACCAAAATAATATTATTTTCTTTTGACATAATAAGAATTCTGATTCATTAAATTACAAACAAAAAAACCTTGTGGACATTTTAGTAATTTTGTAACCAATTACAAGTAAAGTTAACAAAAGAAAATTTTTTTGAAATACGACCAAATGGGTTTCCTTTTAAATAAATAAATAAAAATAATAATAATAATCATTTTATAGGTACATTTTTAAATAACATTTACAAATCAAAACTAACTGCTTCATAAATCCTATACTTTCTGATATGAGTCATCTTAAACATTTGTAGTTATCAGTAAACTGAAGTGTACTCTCAACCGCACTTGGTGAAGAATTCTTTCAGAATTCATGCCCTTTTACAGGAATTAATTAAACCCCTTGAGCGAGGGTTTATGTTACCTTCTTTCCACTTTCACATAATTATTTTCAGTTTTTCCCCATCAATACAAATTTTCCAATTAAAAATATTTCGCCCCACGCGTTGCTCATTATTTTCTCGTATAGTTTATGGTCATCGAAGCGTTAGAGTTCCGCTTAATTAGCAGCCACTGTAAGCGGGCGAAGGGGGGCCGAGGAGAAGTGGGTGCCGAGTGGGTGGTTTCTGGAGTGGGTGGTGGGTCGTACTGTACTTGTGCTGGCTCTCGAGTGTCGGCTGCTCTCGCATGTGTGCTCGAGGGCAGCGAATTATGTGCTTGCACTGAGTGCAAGTGCATTAGCACCCGCCAAGAGGGGGTCGTTGGGCTCTCCAAAAGGGGGGTGGTGCTGCGGAAGAGATGGGAGTGTGGATAGGGTGGAGGCGGAGGAGGGGGGCACAGGATGTTTGCCTTAACTGGTGCCCAAGTGCTTCCTTGCGAGGCCATTGCAATGTCTGCCACTGCCACTGACTGGGCCCAATTCGACTCGGCCTGGGCCGATGTTTCGGCCAAAAAGTGTGCCACAATAAACACACAGACTCACAAGCCAAACACGGCAAGGTAATGGAAATTATAGTTACTGCGTCTGTCGGCGTGCCCTTTGCAATGGGTATTATAAATACGGGCAATCTGTAGCAAGTGCGCCTGTATTGTGACTTGAAATATATTAGCAGCACTTGTGTAACTTTTCTATATTGGTGGCCCACAAAATTCATACAACCCAATTTCTATTTAATATTAAATATTCGAGAAAAAGGGACAATAACATTATCTATCTAAACTTATAAAATTGCAAAGTATACTTAAGTATTTAAGTATTGAAAATTTAAGAGCTCCTAAGAAGATGGTCATAAATATACTTAAGCTTAAGATACCGACACTAAATCTTCTAAGCTTTATAACAATAACCCAAGCATATATATTTCTTGGGATAAATCAACGGAGCATGTCTCGTTTTAGTTTTGGGTCACCTTACCTACATTTGATAAATGCGGTCTATCATAAAGAAATTGGAAAAATCTGTAAAGGATAAGGTAATCTTAACTATATGATAAGGTGCTTTGAAATATACAAGAATAAATATATATGATTTAAGAATATATGAATAAAATCCCTTATAAAATTATTAGAGTCTTTCCGACGGCCCTTTTTGTTTGTATTTCTAACCAACAAAAATTATTACCATAATATCTTAATATTTAAAATAATACCATCATAATGAAAAGGGTATTGGCATTGTTCGTGATATGATTCCCAAAGAGCTTCCACCATTTGTTGTTGGCAGTGGCAGTGCCATGTTGCTTCTGTTGCT